TCCTTTTATCAAGCCAAGTAGAAAAAGTGTCATCATACAACAATTTAAGACAAAGGGAAGGTGGGATACAACCTTTTCTCTGTTCGGTAGGGGCCATTTTGGATTTTATGTATACCAGACACTATGGGGCTACCCCCACTTCCATCCATGGCTTTTTAAAAACCTTAGACCCATACCTAACATCCTGCCAAAAATCAAAAACATTTCCAGAAGTGCACAATCCTTATGATATTTCACAAATTCCCTCCCAGCTATTACCCGCACAAAACTTTTAGTTGTCCCAGGCCAGAGGACAAGCGTTAATGTCGAGTCCAATCAATTTTTCAGTTTTATAGAAATAAGTTCGACCGTGATGTTCACTGTGAACGCTGATTGTCTCAGGGCGTTTTGACTGCATTTCCCACTTATTCCTTTATTCCAGCCCTTTTCCTGATACCTTCTTTACTATATTTTTGAAACAATTCACACGTTTTACCACTAGCAAGACCATTAAGACACTTAAAAAGTTTATATTTTTTAACACATTTTGATCATATACCTCAAGTGTCTGTATATGGATTTTTTCAATGCTTGGTCCCGCTTTTTTGTACACTGACTGAGCTTTCATACATTGATTGAGTCTGTTAGAGGTAATAGATGACAGCACTGATTTACATTGTCCATTTCTATGAGATTATCCTTTTATGTTTTTCATCAGTGTCATATAAAGATCTGATAATCCTATCACAAAGTTTTAATGCAGACTGCGCACTGTATAAAAAAAAAAAAGTCTGTGTATATCTTATTGAGAAACAAGCTCACAGCAAGTTGAATTTTAAGAACCTGCATTCTTCTGTGTCCATTTGAACATGAAACTCCTTAATTTATCCAGGTCAGAATAATATAAAAGGTACAGTTAAATTGCCTATATTAAGCAAAATAGACTGAGAACTTTAAGCAATGTTATAATGCTGTTACCTCATCAAAAACATACCTAGAGTTGTGCTTTGTTTCTTTCACACATGTTTGAGTAACACATTATTATTTGTCTGTCTACATCTTCAAAGCTGAAAATGCTCTGTTCCACCTTGTGAAGTCATGGAGTTAACAGCTACCTCTTACCTTTTGTTCAGTAGAGATGGGCAATCCAGGGTTGAAATTGTCCAAATTATTCTAATAAAGATGTAAGGGGTTTTAAAACATAGTGGAGCATTACCTGTGTTACCACATGTGTTTTCTGTTTGAGAGTAGAACTCAGCCTAAATATCCAGGACATGTGTGTTAAGCATGTCTGAATGAAACAAAACACAACTTCAGGTATGTTTTTGATGAGGAAAAGGCTTTATAACAGAGATTGGAAAATAGTGTAATATGGGGCCTTTAATACAATTCTAACTACCACTAGTGGCTTTGACCTACATCTTTTCTAATTGAATTTCATATAGGGTATTGGTTCAATAAAAACAGATTTCATTTTGTCTTGAGGTCTCTATTGAATCCAAAAGATCCCCAGTTAAATGAGCGTTCCATCCTCTCGTGTAAAACCTAATGCATATTAGTTGGTTAAGGACAGCACACTCCTGCTATTGCATTTGCTAAGGTACTCTGCAAGCATTAAGCCAAAAGTAAAGATGACTGCTATGTAGTAATAAAATCTTTCAACATGTTTTTCAAACCTCAAGACTGTTTTTATTACCATTCTGCAACTGTCAAGCCATGAATCAGTTCTATAGTATGTTTCCTCTTTGCTTATAGACCCCTTTGCTCTAATGGACCTAGCAGATTTCCAAGAACCAACATAACATACAGTAAATGGACTATGCACATTCTACATCTACCATTGTCATGTGTATTTTCTCTTAGTCCATGTGATGTACTTTACACTCCTTTCTATTGCATTAACTGCCCTATCCAAACTTTGGGACTGTTGAGGGTCTGGCCGAAACTGGCGACAGCATGTACCTCCTCCCACTCCTCCCCCTCCACCCCCTCCACCCCCTCTACCCCTCTCCTCCCCTCTCCTCATTCCCTCTCACCATTCCCTCTCACCAAGGCTCCATGGGCCCGGGTCCAAACTATGCACCAGACCACTGCAGAGTGCTTGTGTGTTATGGACAACATGAAGTAAATATGCACAGGACGTAAGCTGTGAATGACTTTTTGCTTGTCCCTAAAATTTGAATATGTATTATCACTCTTTCACTGCTTTTCTCCAATAAGTCAGTGTCTTTGGATTGAACTCTCTTTCTGTGTAGTTTATTTTTAATTCATAGACAGGAAACACTCATGAGAAGTGAGAAATGGTTGTGAGCAAGTGCAGATGCTGCAAGATGTAGTGTTGCAATGTATTTGCTAAAAACATTGACTTCTTTAGCAATTTGATTGCACCAGTGCAATTAGCAATTTTATATATATATTTGATTGCACCAGTGCAATTAGCAATTTTATATATATATATATATAATATATATATATATATATATATATATATATATATATATATATATATATATATATATAGTGGCTTCAACAGATACCGGGAAAAACAATGGACATCTCAGTCCAGAAAAGTGCAGTACTGGGAACAGCAAAGATACTGTGCAGAACTCTCAAGCTCCCAGGCCTCTGGTAGAGGACCCGAGCTGAATGAGGGTGAGAGAGACCTACCACCGTGGAAGGTGAGAAACACATTTATTATATATATATATATATATATATATATAGATATAGATATAGATATATATAATTAACCTTTGTACACCAAACCAAAGAAAACTTTCTCAGACATTCAGATAATGATCTACATATATAAAAAGACAAAAAAAACTTAAATTAATGGTATTATAATGCATTATAATATATGTAATTTCATTCTTTTTTTTCTAAGTATGTAAGATTGTTATTCAAAGTAGATGTGATGCAAATGAAAAACAAATTAATCAGACTGCTCTCTCATTGTCAGCCTTCTAATCTTGCATAGGGTTTTGTTTGACAGTTGATAATCTTTTGTGTTTGTGTTTTACATTCAGTTAGGCAAAATTAACATTAGTGAGCATTAAGCCATGTTATAATGCAGCTATCTCATCAAAAACATACCCGAAGTTGTGTTTTGTTTCATTCACACATGTTAAGTAACCCTTTAGAATGAGTCTGTTTACATCTCCAAAGCTTGCTCCACCTTGTGATGTCATGAAGCGTGGTTTTAACAGCTATCTTTTACCTTTTGTTTAGAAGAGATTATCACTTTCAGCACTGAAATTATCCATATGATTCTAGTGAAGGTGTATGGAGTTTAAAAACACAGTGTAGCACTTTCTGTATTGCCACATGACATCACAAGTTGGAACACAGTTTTCTGTTTAAGAGAAAAACTCAAACCTAAATTTTTGTGTGTTAAACATGTGTAAATGGAGCAAATCGCAACTCCAGGTATGTCTGTGATGAGGAAACATTATAATATGAGAAAGTAGTTTGTTGTGGACTCTTTAACTATTACTTAACTAGGAAAAATCTTTTAGAGACTAAAAACCTCTAGTATAGTTAAGATCTAAAATGTAAATTTGTGTTATTCAGATGTCAGGTGAAGGTAATCATTGATAGCTTTGGGGAAAGGGGCACACAGAAGTCTCTGTGGTGACCAGTGGCCTTAACTGTCAGTGGAAACACAAATACAACAAAAGTCGGTCATTCAAGGACACAAAGCTAGGGATTTTTCCTCAACACAAAATTAAAGTTTCATTGTAAATTAAAGAAGTGCACAATAAGTACTTTAATATCAATCTGCGGTAAAATACTAATTGTTTTTCATGCTTATGTAACACATTTACAGGCCATTTGGTTTGACCTTCCTCCTGCATTATGCTCAAACAAATTTACTTGGGATGGGTTGATGAACTCATGTCTTATCTGTGTGTTGTGTGTTTGGACAGTATGCACCCTTTTCAACAAACATTTTTTCAGAACTTGCTTTCACTTGAGTGAGTTTGAGTAATTTATCTTTCTAAACACACGTTGATCTCAGAGGCTATTTGACATGCAAAATTATTTGTATATTATTTGTGCTTTTGTAAAGAAAAAAAAATCTATGAATCAATTTAATTCTGATGATTTTTGAGTACCCTTCTGGCATTATCTTGAAGTAATGTTATTCACCTCTGAATATTTATAAATGGAACAGACACAGAGAATCTTTTGGGCAATGATGGAGTGTTGCTCTATGCTACCATCCAGTGGTTGCATTATAGACCAACATACAACCAAAAATTCACCAGAATATTATACCAGGGTTGCACCCACCTATTATTTTAGCTGTTGATTAGTCAGCAATACATTTTTAAATTAGTCTACTAATAAAACACTTACTTCTATTGTACATTAAGACTTATACAATATATGCATACTTATAATACATATTTAACCAAATGCAGCTTGAAATATGGTGACTCAAGGCTCTGACTGAGATATATAAGTTAGAGAATATTTATGAATTGAGTGTATTATTGATGAAAATAAGATTTTTTTTTTATTGATTTAAAGGTGCATTGTGTAACTTCTCAGGTGAAGGTTTTGTCAATTGCTTTTCACCATGGAGATGTTATTGATTCATTTGGAATGTTTCACAGTATGGCATTAAACCTTTTTATCATCACGGAGACCAAACCAGACCAAGTTACAGGTCAGATCTGTGGAGAGTCAACCCCCCACACAGTCAGAATGTCATTTTTTATTTATTTTTTTTTAGCTATTTTTGACCTGTAAAACTACCTTTAATTGAATAAATGTAAGGTAGAGCTGTTTAATGTCATTTTTTGGAACATTCTAGACCAATAGCATATCCATAGAAACAAGCAGGTGATGGACCCCCAACCAAAAAGTTACACAATGCACCTGTAAGAATGCCACTGTAGTTGTTGTAAAAGGTCTTGTGGTATGTGTTCTGTATAGTAGAGTCTGTATAGTCCAAATATGACTATGTTTATTTTTATGTAGTAGTAGCTGTTACAGTGTCATATTTGTTCCAGAAGCCAGTGCATCCCACCACGGGAATCCTCGCTGTCTTCGTTGCACTTAACTACTGTGATAAGGTCCATATAGCTGGGTTTGGATATCCACCCTCAAATGACCAAAGGCATCCAATCCACTACTATGGAAAGGACACAATGAGGTCTATGAAGGTACAAGGATCTGTGTTTGATTTTCATTTGTTTGTTGTTATTATGAATATTTCATGAGACAAAATTGCCATGAGATTGTGTACACATGAGTAACACGATCTCTTGAGATTTTATTCCATGTGTTTAGTTTTAGATTTGACAAAAAAGGGGTTAAGTGGTGGTGAGTCACATTTTCGTAAGAAGCATTAGATCCAAAAAGCAGCGCTACAATGACTGCAACATATTAAATGAAGTAAACCAAAATTGGAGAAGCCAAAATTGAACTACACATTTTTTTTTTTTTTATTATTATGTCAAAATTTCTTCTTGTCTCATTCTCATGGACCCAATCTTGCATCTCATCTTGTCTCATGGAAATTGTGTTTCATTCCATCTCTAATGAATACTAAATCCCTCTTGTCCTCTGTCTGTGCAGAATTCGTACCATGACCTCAGTCATGAAGCTGCAGCCTTAAAACGACTGGAGGATGCAGGCGCCATCTTGTATCTTCATCAACATCGATGACACTGATACCCACGTTCATACTTTGCACCTGTCAGACTGATTACATTAACTGACATATGTTCAATGTCAAATGGAAATGCCAAAAAGGATAAAATGTATTTCTGACAACACTGTGCCTTATTTAACAGTAACATAATAATGTGTATTACATTGTGATCCAGAGAATAGATTTTTCTACCTTCTATCTTGATGCAATAACAGTGACAGATCTTTATAATGAGAGATTGTTTCACGTTTCTTCTTGAATCAAGATGTTTGTGGATCTCACACTAAAAGTAGTCATGAAAATTGATTTTTTACAATGCTGAAGAAACCTTTAATGATCTACCATAATTAACTTTTACCACACTCTTTAAGATACTGGTATGGTATTACAAGTCCAACGTTTGTGTGTTTGTAGATTTTTTCTGTTAATTTATTTTATTCATGTTTTGTATTGCCTGGGAAATGAATGGCAGTGGAAATTATATTATTGTACTGAATAAATAGTTTTTTGGGACTTACACATTTAAGACTGAGTCATGTTAACTAGTAAATACAATATAAAGTGATGGTATAGAACATTATGGTGAAAATGAACTGCATAATTCCATATATTCCATGCTGTGGAATATTACACATTTCCATGGAAACAAGCAGAAGGAGGCCGTCCAGACCAAATATGAGTCTATTTGAAAGAAGAAGGACTCATGTTTTCTGTGTTTTTCAGTGCAATAAAAACATCCATAATGAATGATCATTCTTTTATTTTAGTCTATTATGGAGCAAAAATACTGTGCCTTAAAATATAGTAAAATTGTGGACATATTTTTAATTGAATGAGAATTATATATGAACTACAGTATAGAAAGTGGCTTCAGTGTGCATTATAGTTGTTTGTGTTGCAGTAACGTTAGTTGCAGGTAGATGGCAGACTTCACCTGTCTCTTCCACAGTACAGTTGAGCGCTGGTGCAGTCATGCAGTAGCTTAAAGCGCCAGTGGACACAGAACAAAACTAGCACAAGCTCCACACGTGCTCAGCGTGAACATCTGGAGACACACGTAACGGCTGCGCTCTGCTAATAAGTGAATGTGACTGTAACAGTGGGGCTGAAGGACTCACACGGCACTATTAGTGTTGACATAATGGAGTTTTGCCCTTGGCGCCTATTAACTGGGGTTAGTCATATTGTATAACATCAGCCGTGACAATACGCCCTTCAACAAAATCAGAGTGACAACCTTCTTCTGCTCTCAGTCAAAATAAGGATGGCCAGGATAGACTGGATGTCATGTAACCTACCGGACATTGCATTTTATTTTAATGACATTAAAGGACAATTACAAATGATTCATTATGCTTCACATGATAATGATGCCCCATTTCTAAAAATAGGTAACTCACTCATGTGCACTTGATGGACTTTGTTGCATGTTGAATCCAATACAGTTTCAAGGTCACATGGAGCTCAAGAGACAGTTGTTAAATGTCCTATACTGCAGAAAACTGTCTCTTGTAAACTTTGTCATTTTATAGTGTTGTTACCTCATCAAAAACATACCTGGAGTCCAATTTTGTTTCAATCTTACATGCTTGAGTAATCCTGGTTTATTAGACTGTCTTCATTTCCAAAGCCCAAAATGCTCTGTTCCACCTTGTGATGTCACACTGGTTTTCAATTTAACAGCTACCTTTCACATTTTAGTTCAGTAGGCCATTTCCATGGCTGAAATTATCCAAATGATTCTAATGAAGGTGTGTGATGTTTAAGAACACAGTGGAGCACTTCCTGTATTACCAAGTTGAAATGGAGTGTTTTCTGTTTGAGAGAAGAACTCAGCCTAAATGTGCAGAGTTTGTATGTAAAATGTGAATGAAACAAAACACAACTCTAGATAGGTTTTTGATGAGGAAACTACATTATGACAAAGATCAGAAAATAGAGTCATATGGGCCCTATAAGGAATAGGTGTATTGGTGCTATTCCACATTAATCGAATTGAAAAACAACAAAAAAAGCTACTTTACAAATATCAAATAGACTGATGACCAAAAGGTTACAAGGGATTTTATCTGATATTGAGAAATAGGAAACTGCTCCGAAACTATTGTTGAACAGGCCTTTTCCCCAAAATGTCTGTGTGAATATAAGTTTTAATGTACCATAATTGTGACTGAAATGGCTCTATCATAATAACCACAACTATTTTAGTGTGATTTATATAGCACCTTTACAGATATAGATTAAGCTACTTCAAAAGCCACAACTGCCCTGAAGAGATGGAACCATGGCTGAACATCTGTGCCGATGGCTATCTCTCTCTGACCATCACCAATAAGGCTGCTCACTCAACACATTTAAAACTCAGATAGAACCACCAATCACTGGTATTGTGTGTGACCACTATAGAGTCACTGCTACAGCTTATGTAAATGTGCCTAAAATTTATCCTATTTGACCTGTTGTAGATACATATAACTAAACCCCTGGTAATTCACAATATGCAGTTTTTAAGATAAAGAAATTTAAATATTCCAATGTCATTGCTGATTATTGTATTTCCTCTGTTTTGCTTTTAAACCTATGATTACTCCAAATTACTACAACAGTGAATTCTCTACAGGATTTCCTTGCCCTTGAAAACATATCTGGTGCACATAACACTCTTTTGAAAACATCTCCAAACCGATAACCCTTTATTATGTGTTGCTGGTATATTGTTGCTGATGTAAAACCATCCTCTCCCACTCCTCCCCATGCATTCAGATATGTTCAAAGCACATTAGGGCCCATGTATTCCCATTACACACCTGCTCCATAATGACATGTCATGCCCACACATGTTTTGCCTGAGCGTGCATGAAAGGTACTGCCACCATTTTACTAAGTGTCTCCCAGATAATCATTATGTATATTAGAATTGTGGTAAAGGCTCATATTTAGTGTTGACGAGATAGCCGGGTCATGTTCCTCTGTGGATCATGATGCGTCCCTTCCCTTTTCACAACAGACAGTTACATAATTGAACAGGATTTGAGCTGTTTATTTGACAACTGGAAATCAGGTCAGGCTTTTCAGGAGAAGACTTATTGTACTATAAGCACACCTTTTAACCTCTAGTCTGTATATAGGACTATATGTATACTGCAAACATATGTTAAATATGTTTTCCATTTCATCATAACTAATAGACTAATATTTTGAATTGTATTAGCAGCTCTCATACAAGGTTGCACAAAACAACAATAAAAATTATAATATAATATATGCATTGTACTTATTTGTTATCACTACAATTTGTGACTGAAGTTGAACTATTAAAAGTGCATTGTGCAACTTTTCTAGTAGAGGGAACATGAAATGATTTTCTTCATATAGATGTTATTGCTTTGTCTGGAATGTTTCACAGTATAGCATTAAACCTTTTTATCATCATGGGGACCAAACCAGACAAAGTTACAGGTCAGATCTGTGGAGAAGCAACCCTGCTCCCAGTCAGAATGTCTGTTTTTCTAGGTGTTGTTGAGCCTTAAAACCACTTGTAATTGAATAACTATAAGGTAGATATGTTTAATGTTCATATGATTCATATTGTGGAACATTTTAAGTAAAGCAAAGACATATCCATAGAAACAAGCAGGTGACAGACCCCTTACCTAAACGTTACATTGTGCACCTTGGTGGTTTGGTTCTTCTTACAGGCATTGCATACTGTTATTGTGTCCTTGGACAGGGCTCTCCATTCACTTTGGTGATGTAAGATTAGGCCTTGCAATGATTCAAGAAAAATAGTCACATTTAAGAGTCTCATTCCAAATATTGAGAAATAAGCAAGAATGACCAAAATCACTTCCACTTTTAATAAGAAAAATCAATAGGCCTCCATTAATATATGAAAGTCGATACAGTATTGCCAACTAAAGCAATGCAATATACAGAATCAAATATTTTGAAGAGCTCAATACATAATTCTCATACAGAAAGTCAAAATTGATAACATCGTTTATAAAAAATGGACATCAAGTCATTATTGCAAAGTAGAATCTGGCTAACCAAAGTGAGCAGCTCTTTATACTCATTATACTTTGCTAATATTTATAATGAATTAAAATCCTCTAAAGGATTCAAGTGAAAGTGTATAGAGTTTAAAACACAGTGGATCATTTCCTCTATTACCACATGAGGTGGGACAGAGTGTTTTGTATTTGAGAGAAGAACTCTGAGAAGAAGAAGCCTAAATATGCAGGGTTGGTGTGTGTGTGTGAATGAAACAAAACAAACATTCTAACACTAATCACAAAATAGGGTAATGTAGGCCCTTTAAGAAAAATCCTACTACCTTTAATACTGCAAGTCAAATTTACATTTTTCATCAGGCTATTTACATGTTCTCTCTGTGTGTAGCCATGTTCATTTGGTGGAATAAGTTACAGTGCAGTAATGAATTTATTTTTACTACACAGGACCCCCCTGAGTGCTCCCCCTCCTGACCCTGATGTGACGGTGCACCAACTGAGCCTGATCAAGCCATTTGTGCATGCCGCGGTCAACAAATGAGACCAAAGGCTGTGTCCGACTATGTGCCTGATTTAAAATGCATAGGTTTGAACTCTTCAGAAGACCCCTCCTGTACACATAAGACCCCCAGCATGCTAGAGCCATAGGATTTTTACATTGCGGCAGTGTTACAGTTAAAATGCATGAACCGTGAGGACTTGTGTACCACTGCGTTAGCGCGGTCTCATGCAGGCAGAAGCTGTGACACTTTGATTGTTATTACAGTATATCTCATTATGCCATCTGCTGCTCTGTTCTAAGCTCTAAGTTGAACCCCCATGCGATCATTTTCTCCTCTCAACTAACAAATAATTGGTGTTTTCCATTTTACATACATACCACATAAGCTTATATAAATAGTAACACGTAAGGTTCATGTTTGGAATGGTGAGATTTGTAGCAGTATGATCATATAATTTCCTCTTTGTGTTGTGGACTTCAGCATATGCAGAATAGCAAAGACTTTACTAATGAGCTAACAGAGGGCCCCCAAGAGCGCTTAAAATGTTATTGCAAATGATAAAAAATGTTGAATTAGTGTTTAACCAACTGGATACGATTAAAGAGAGAAATAGAGAAATAGAGAGAGATTGCGAGAGAGTGTAGATGTAGATAGAGATAAAGAGAGAAAGCGAGAGAGAATTTGTAATATAATTATGGTTATACTGCAAAAGCACCTCCTAACACATTTTTTATACCTGCTCACCAACTTTAGGAAGCAGAGACTTAAACTCACCTTAATAGACTTCACCATATCGATATGTAAGAGCAGTGGACAGTTTGTGTGGGAAGAGGCCGAGTGCAGCCTGTTCCTGGAGAGAGGGCATCTGGCCTGGCTCTCTGCTCACTCCCCCACAGTGACAGCCATGGCCCAGAGAGGTGCTGTGTGTCAGGTGCTCAGGCTCACACTAGCACCATGGGAACCAACGGATAAGGAGCAAATACATAAGAGGACCGTGGAGAGAGGGAGAG